AAATTCAGAAACCTCTACCTTAAACCATGGGAATCACCACCAAGTTTAATGGGACTATTCAATGTAAGCATGTAAAAATAAAAATAAATAGAACTCTAGCTGACTGGTTAAGTTTTGCTGCACAATAGCAAGAAATATGTAAATAAGTATTCTTATTGCACTTCCTTTAAGTTCTGATTTATAAGTTCTTCAATTTGTCATCTACCAACATACTCAATGTCTTCAGTAAATTATGAAAAACAAATCAGGAAAAGCTTTCAGTGTTTTAAATAAAATGTAAATGCCATATAATTTTTTCCTACACTTTAATGGTTTGACCATATGCTGTCACTTTTTTTTTTAGTGAATATAAATATTAATAAACTAAAATGCCCACTGATATTTGAGATTTAATATTTATTGTTAATTTCCAAATGGATTATTTTCTCATGCAAAAATCAGGAGTGTAAATTAGTCACGGGCTAGTTCCTAGCCTATGATTCTTGACAACTGAAGGCACTTTTAGTGAAGAGTCCCAACCATGCCATTTGCTCCCTCTTGTGATTACAGCTCAAATCTGTGTTTCAGAGATGACTGCAAAGCCTATTACTCGGGGAGGCTGAAGGGATGGGGTAGGGTGTGTCTCAATTGAGACTAGTACTTTATACAATGAAAATAAAATGCTTGAAGAACCTATTCCATTTAAACCAGTACTTAACATTAAATTAATCAGGAATACTAGATAGTTTCCCACTGTATCATTGGAAAGAAAACAGAGCTATTGTTCAGGGGACTGTTTCAAATTTTTTTCCAAATGCCAAAGTCACCTTTTCAAGATACTCAGTTTACAGTATGGCTTAACTGTGACTACTTCATATTCCTTCAACCTAACAATACAATCAAACTGCATACAAACATCCCTCAAAAAGATACAAATATTTCTTTGAAAAAATCCAAGCCAAATCACTGGATGCAAGTTTTCCCTTTTCAAAGGGGACCCCGCTCCCATCAGCTGCACTGATGCAAATTCACACTACTTCCATTCAAAAACAAGAGCTACTACAGATTTATCCTAGCATTGCTATTAACAGACTTTCGTACTTTTAAATTTTCATTTATATACCCCAAAACTCTTCTTTGATTAAAAAGAATAAAGACTCCACAACTTCAAAGAATGATTCAATTAAACATGTAAGTGCCCATCTGATGTTTAGTAACTATATAGGAGATTTAAAAAGTGAAGTTATGCTAAAAGTATTATGGAAAAATGAACAAGTATGAACTATCAGTTTGTATTGGAAGCCAAGAGGAATGATCCGATATGAAAAGCATCAGAAATGATATATGGAAAGCATATTTGGAAGTTTCGTAAATGAGGCATCTCAAAAATGCTGTATGAAAACACTTACTCTAGGGCAAGAGTGAAGAAAGTTTTTGAGGAAATAAGATACAACAGAGCAAAGAAGAACAAACTCAAAATATTTGCTTAAAATATTTAATGTACATGATCCATGTTAAATGATACAGTACCAAGTAGATGTCAAAACATATTAATAAACAAATTATGAGGACCAACATTATTACAGCAGCTGTTTCACTGCAAATCACGGTTTAAATTTTCAGAACAAGCTTTTAATACCAACAACCCTTCTGGCTGCCATCCACTGATGACAACTCAAGAGTAGTGTGCAGGAGTACATGGGAATAATCAAACAAACCAAACAGCATCACATAATGAAATTTCAAGGACATTAAAAAGAAAAATTAATTGGTTTAAGGAAGATGATTAGCTGTTTTTTAAATCTGCATTACTTGCATATCCTTGACTAAGAAGATGATCAATTTTGAAACATCTAGTTAGAAAAAGAAGTTGGCATGAGCTCTAGCTGTGAAGGAAAGAATCCATTTAATCCATGCTGCTACCATATCTGACACTACACTCAAGTGACAGCGAAGAAAAAGATCAGTTTTGGGAATGTGTCATAATTTCCGAGTACATTTTGTGCTACTACCAGAAAAATGCATCCAAATAGGGTTGAATGCTAATGAGAACTTGACTTGAACCTAGAGAGCCCCTTGCGACCTACAGATGAAAAGGCTTTCTGCACAGACCCAATAAAGAAAATATAACATCTCACAAAACCCTGTATAGGTGACAGAACAAAACTGATGAAAATGTTAAATTCTGGCAGAACTAAAGCAATGCATATTTTTCAAGGCACATACACTCATACAAGATACTTTTTAATAACAAACTGCTAAAGCTGCTCTATGCAAGAAATGTACATTACACCTACAAAAGGTAACGTGAAAAAGCACTCACTGTAAAAAATTAACTGGAAGTTAAAAACCAAAATCAAGCTGCAGATAAAATTCCATGTAAATGTAAAGGAAAAAAAGCAGGTATAATCTTTTGGCTGTAGAAACAGTAACAACGTCAGAGCACATCTATATAGTACTGACCTAGCCAAAACTAACGCAACTTAAGGGTCCGTATTTTAAAACATGACAGAGGAAAACAAGAAACAACAGAGTAAAAAGCTGCAAAATAATTTGAGAAGGCTAAAAAAGTTTTTTATAGAGGGATCTGACAACTGTAATAAATTATGTGGTACTGAAATCATATTTCAATCTTCTTAAGCACAGTGAAAGAACTTAACATGCCCACAATGACTACTCTTGTAGAGAAAGAGAAATAAGAACCAGGAAACTGAATAAAAACTATAAGTAGAATATGTTAGTGATTAAATATGGGCATAAACTAAGACAAGGAAGTGGATTCTCCATCCCCAGAGAAATGCAAATGGAGCAGGATGGTTACTTGTATTCTAACTTTTAATATAGATGTAAATCAAATAAATTGAGCAAGCTGAGATATAAAAGGAATCATGCTCAAAAATAACAGCCCAGCCTGCCCCTCCCCCCCTTGCAGGCACCTATGAAACAAACCTAAACATAATTCAACACAACAGAATTTAGCAACCACTTCTCCAGGTTCAGACAGTAATTAAAGCTGTTCAAGTTCAGACTAAAAATATTCTTCTTGTTGTCCAAAATAATGACATTTTATAAATTTCCAAACAGACAAAATTGTATTACTATAATCCAAATACAACTCAAATTTAGTATTAACAATTAAACAAAGCCTGCTTACAACAAGAATCCAAAGACCTTCACTTTGAAGAAAAAGTTACTTTAAAAGGGTCCACAAATATTTACTTCCAAATTATAACTTTTAAAACTTCAGTTCCTCGAGGATAATTCTGCTCTTTCTTGAGAAAACAGCAGTATTATTAATTGTTTTAGTAAACTAGACTTAAAGCCAATTTTAAATTACAAGACAACTACCAGATCATTTTTTTTTCTCTAAATGTGTTAAAACTGTGTAACTACTACAGATCATCACTAGTTATTTGTACTGCTAATGCAAATGTTGTCTTTCATACTGATGCATAGTAAGGTATTCCAAAACTACACACAGGAATTACAGCATTTTAATTACCTGAGAATTGACAATGATGAAGTATTTTTGCCTTTAAATACAGGGACATTTGGTTATACTTACTACATTAAAAAGTAACATTAACAAAGCACTTTTTTTAAGTCTCCTAAAGATTTCTTTTCCCCACTACTCTTTCTTCTTTCTGGCTAATTAAAAATAATGTTGCAGAGATGGATTATGTGCTTACTGTTGTGTGCTTACTACGTGCTGATGTTACTGAATAACATCACTAGTATGAGATTACAATAAAGCACAAGGTGACAGCTCAGAAGTCCCCCAAATCAATCAGTGCCTTGACATCCTACTTCAACTGTGCAGCTGAGAAGTTCCAATTACTGTCTTTGCTTTTCCTTGTCGCACTACCCGGCTGAATGACTGCTAATCACCTGTTTGCCTGCTTTTAAAGGCCAGCCTGGAAATGAAAACTAATACCACAGACTACACATTAAAGTAAGCAAGCTAGCACTGGCTCACCGGTTACCTCTCCTTCTCTCCCTGTCTGCCTTCCATTCTAAAAACGAGAGGCCACGGCTTCTCATCTATCCACTTGTCAACACAATACTGCTGCACGCCAGGAGCGGCAGGCAGGGCGGCGGACAGCAATCTACAGTAAAAGAAAAAGAAACCAAAAACCAAAGCAAAGCAAACAGAGCGAGAAAGCATCGAAAGCGGCCTCGAGTAGCTTGGCGTCTCTTCCGAGAGGAAAGGCGCATCCGGGGCCGTAGTGCGTCTCTCAGTGTAAGACGAGGATCCTTCCCGACCCACACGCTTCTCCCTCGGAGTCCTCAGGCCTCCACAGCTCCGCGGAGCTTCCGCTAAGGGCTCAGCGGCGGCTCCGCCAAGCCCCAACTCCCGGGCCGCCCCTGACACAAAACCTCCCCATCAAAAAAAAAATGCCCACAGCCATCTCTTTCCACCCGTGAGCCGGAGGGCCCCTCACGAGCCCACCGCCCCAGCACCGCTCCGCCAGAGGCA